GGGTTGCCACAATGCGCGTGCCATAGATGTCAATCTGGGTATCCGGTGGCTTGTCAACAGAGTTGACTTTCAGCGCTTGCTTCCATGTGCGGAAGGTTGTGATCAAGCCTGGAGGATCCTGGAGTGGATTCCACTGAGCAACGATGCGTCTGACCATCGGCGCAATTGCTGCAACGACAATCTCGTCCAACCGATATTTGTCGAACTCTACGGGGTACTGCACCAGCAGGGTGGAAAATAAAGGTGAAAAATCATCCAAAGTTGCCTCATAAACAGAAGCCAGTTCCTTCGCCTTTGCGCCAATATCGTCTACAACAAGTTTCACCTGCTGTAGTCGTGCAATGACTACATACACTGCGCGTGAGTGATGATCAATTGAAAAGCGAGAACAGACATACGTTCAGCCTCATCACTAACTTTCTTTTGCAGCCGAATGCCCTCTTGGGTAATGAATCTTTTACGTTCCTCGAGAGCCTTGGCTTCACGTGCAAGCCCGTCAAGATCGTGCTTGCATGCGTCTACAATAAGTCGCAGGTTATGCCGTACTTCCGGTATGCGAGTAGGATCAGTTGATGGCGTCCACGATGACAAAGATATGTCGGCAAGTGACGTAACTTCACGAGGCTGAAAAGATGCGTGAGTAAAGTGAGATGAGAAGATATGAGCAGCATTCACCGTTCTGCCAGTCGCATCAATGATTTGACCAATGCCGGATGCGGCGGGTTCTTGTCCAGCCTCTGCAACAATTTGTTCATATGTCTTGTGCTCGACCTTTGTCTTCACCTTCTTCGGCTTCTTCCAAGCGTCGCTCCTCTTCTCCTTCGCATCGCCCTTCTTACTCTGTCTCGGCCGCACCTCTTCCTCATCGTCACTGACTACCTCTCCCCTCCTTCTAGCCTCAAGCTTGCTTTGCTCCGTCTTCTCCCTATACCCCTTGAATGCGATACCCATTTTCTTCGGACGCAATTTGCTCTCGATTGGGATGACGATACCCTCTCCGGTCGCGCCGAGACCTGTACCAGCCTGCCATCCCATCTTTGCAAGCATTTGAGCACCAATGGTACTTCCAATCTTGTTGAAGTGTGCTTGTTCATGTGCAGGTAGCGGTGTGGATGGTTTGCTTGTAGAAGAAGTCCCGCTGCGGAGGAAAGAGCGTTGCGCACGAGGGGCACTGTTACCACCAAAGGCGGTTGGTAACTCAGATGTAGACGCTAGTTTGGTAGGAGCGGGGGCAGCGATAACAGGTTCAGATGGAGCACTAGATGTAGAACCGATACCACCTTTCGTAAATCCCATACCTACAGTCGCGGATCCAAGTTTTGTAGAATTACCGAAACCACCCCTGGCAGAACCTATTCCACCCTTTGAGCCAATTCCACCTTTTGAAGATCCTATACCGCCTTTGGTAAAATTCTGCATTGGAAGTTCCAGCTCAGCTCTAGTCGAGCCAAGGCCGGTAAAAGCTGGCCGCTCTGGTGGTTCGTCCTCTTCTTGATCTCGTATCCGGGGGGAGGGAGGCGCCGAGAGTTCATCCACACCTTCATCATCCTCAGCATATTCAGCCTGCTCGATATCATCGTCGGAACTGTCGGCTCCGTCCGCTTCATCCACCACTTCTTGTTCCTTGTCCTCTGCCTCGTCCTCCTGCGCTTCCACATTCTCCTCCAAATCTACTTTTCCCTTTGCGACAAATGTGGGAGCCTTCGTCCAGTCACTTCTCTTGCGTTTCGAGTTGAGGCCGCCGTAGCCTTCATCCTCACTGTCGCTACCAAAAACACCATAAATTGCGTCTTCTTTACCATTCTTCCGACGTCGTTTGTGCGAATTTTCGAAGAGGGCACGCTCAGCACGAACGTCTGGGTCATTGTCGTGTAGGTTTACATCGGCTTCTGAGCCTTCTGAAGAGTCAGAATCATCGTCTTCGAGAAATTGATGTTTGCGGCGTGGCATGGTGATGTTAGGGTTTTAGTTAAGCTGTGTTGGAAGACCAAGTAGTAGATATCAAGAACGCGGTCTGCCTCGTGACGCTCTGCTGGATGTGCGTTTATCCACAGTCACTAATTACGGTACCTCACGTGAGGTGACAGAGTGTGACGCTGTGCGGAACAGTTATGCCGCGGTTCAACGTTTAACGTTATAACGTTCAACGTTGTTCAGCGCTACAGCGCTACCGTGACGGCAGACTAGGTACCCCACGAGCGTCGCTGCGCACAACAATCCAAGAAATAATATTCGATATTACCCTATCGTCGATCATATGGGCTGGAAGACAACCATGAGCTATAGAAGAATGAACGTTCTGAACATCGAAAACTGCTATCTCGCTATCGAATTCGCCTATCACTGCAGTATAGCCGCGGAAAGGGTCGCGTGAAATTATAACGTTATGAATATGTCCAGTGACTGAGTGTATAACTAAGCTTACAAAGGTCCTTGCCCCCTCGTCGAAATGCTGTTTGCGAGGAAAGCCGCAGCCATCTGGCTTTTTCTTGCATTTGAACGGGTTCTGACTGCACAGACACCACTGTCGAGCCATACGCCTTCAATCTTTTACCCGGGGGTCGAAACTGATCTTGGACAATGGGACCTTGATGAAAGGCCTGCGGTGAACGCGACAGGACATCTGGTGTTCGAAACGGCCAATTCCCTGCTTCAACACTGGGCAAATACTCGTCATCGTATTGGTATGTCTGAAAATACTGAATTCCACTCAGATGACTCACGATTCATCATTTGCGCCCTGCAGGTCATACAATAGTCCCAGGGACTATTCCCGTGGGCACTCTCCTCCACCATGGAGCCATCACCGGTCCCCATTTACCGACCGCCCTAGATTGGGTGGCCGTAGAGCCAGACCACTCTATAATTTTCTGCCAAGGGCCAATCGAGACAGGGTGCTGGCACCTCACCCTAACAGTCACTCGGCCGATGAAAGTGCTCTATTTCGACGGAAGCAGCGCTGTGAACATCCTTGAGGGCACCATGGACACCCAAGATCTTGTGGCATGGTCGGAAATGAAACCCGAGTGGGTGGACAACGAAGAGCAGCGCATAAAGGATCTGTGTAAATGGGGTCAGAAGTATGACGTGAATGGCTTTGTGAGGTTTGTTGGATATTGGGATGCGTGCACGTAAATGCCTGATGCTGATATGTGGGTCTTAGGATGGAAATGAATTTGTGCGAACCCAGGCGTAGTTCCTTGGTGATTTGTTATTGACGACGGTCATAGTGAAATTATGATTTGCAACTTCACCTCTCACATGGAGGTCGTTTCGTTCTTAAATCTCGAGAGCATTCGCATCGGCACCGATGCCTCCAATCTGCCAGAGGATCCCAATACTAGTGAGCGACTGTGTCCATGTTTTGGCGTAGGTCTGATTTATTCTCGGACATCAGTGCATCACTCTTTTGAATTAATGCATTCTGCTTCATGGCGCGAAAATTATCCAGGAGAAACTCGGATTACGCTTGATTTTTCTGGGCTCGTCTCTTTCTACGACACCACTCTTGTTCCCTCCTTGGTGCCACGTCGTGTAGGCTTGGACCGATGGGACCATCGAGTAGGAGGAATATCATTAGAGGATATAGAACGCGTCCAAGACAGGCTAGCTCAAGCGCTAGCACGACCACCCTCGACGACCAGCGGCATTGACTGGAAAACAGTCTTGCGCGTGGTGGTCGATCGATATGCCAGCCGCCTGGAATTCATACAGCACCTTTTGAACCTAACGTTGGACGACGGGTCAATCTTTGACCACGCACAACAAATTCAGAGACAACTGCGCACTGTCGTTCTACCCTACACTGTGTTTGCAGCTCTGCCTCCCAATATTTCCGTTACTGCCAACGCGACAAATTTGTGGGCTGCGCCAGTTTTTCGGGAATGTGCTACATCGCACGCGGCCTCCATAGCGTCTCGTGGAACAACACTGACGCCCTCCGAACGTTTGCTTCTGCAGGCGGTGCGGGAAACTACGCATGAAATTTGTCGCGTCGCCACGAAAATGTGGGCTTCTGGCATGAATTTTGAAGTTGATGCCCTTTATCCTGCGCAACAACGCCCTGAAGTTGATCACATACATACTCTCATGGGCGAATGGAAGGAAGATGTGACACAGTTAATCTCCTGGTTGGACTGGAGCGTGTGGGTGAAGTGCCGACCTGCCTGTGGTTTCGAGGTAACAAAATCAAGTTACTTGTTTGCAAAGTGACTGACCTCGCCGTGCAGGAGATGTGCTATTTGCCTACTTGGCCGTTTGGGTTTTTCCCGACTCCCAGCGCACCACTTCAAGTCCAATGGGACAGTGCTTCCTTATGGCCAGACCCAGACAAAGGGGAATGGAAAAGACCACAACCCAAGTGCATCAGACGGCGGGAGCCATATGGTTTTTAGGATACATGATTCACGTGCATTATTGCTGACACATGTACGTTTTTTGTACAAAATTATTGCACATAGAGTTCAAGTGCGCCGCATGCGTGACGTATGTACTGTTTGAATGTCTTGATGTGTTGGCTTTTTGTAATTATCAAAAGCAAGGATCTTCAGTAGTCTTGGCATCCCACAACCATCTTGCTTTATAGGATGATTAATGCAAATGATCCCTGCGACCAGAATCTCATCCGATAGTCTGACACCAATTCTTTTTCACCAGTCTTTAAACTTCATTCGATATTCAACGAATTTGACATACTCATACAAGCGTTCCATTCAATTGAGACATTTCTTCATGTAAAAAGAGGATACCACCGTGACAGCCGATTCTGATAGCGATAAACGTAAGAGACCTACCATTACTTATATCAGTTGTTGCGGTCAATGTAGGCGCTGGCGTCGCGCAGTATACACCGAGTAAGATAGAACACCAAGAGACGGTCAGACTGACGAAATATCACAATTAAATCAATCCTTAACATCTGGAGAATGTTATCCTACCAGTGCATGAATAACTTCTGTATTTCTGAACAAGGGCGTCAACGTAAGTAAAAAGCAAAAAAAGGGCCTGGCCGGGAATTGAACCCGGGACCTCCTCGAATATAGATCAACCCTAACAAGGAATCATACTACTAGACCACCAGGCCGATAAAAGTTTTGACTTACTAAACCACCATAATCGTGTAGGCTCAGGCTCCAAATAAGTCTTTACTGACGCGTCCCTTCGCGTTCATCTGATTCTTAAGAACCGACATCATCTAGCACAATGGACCAACGAAGACAGGATGCTCTCAAGAGCTACCGGGATGTAAGTGAGCTGCCTGTCTTGCACTTCTGCTGATTTCAGCTCTGTTATAGAAAATGCAGAGTCACGAGAACTCGAGTCAGAGTCTCAAGAATCGTTAGCGTCTGTCGAATCAGGAGTATTCGAAGCTTTCTAACGTTTGTTAACATACAGTGCGGTTTTCGTTGAAAGATCTTGAGGCTGAATACGCGAAGACCGAGGATGACATCAAGGCCGTGCAGTCCGTTGGACAGATTATTGGAGAGGTCATGAAACAACTAGATGACGAACGATGTCAGTCGCATTAGGTTTCTTCATCTGTTGGGGCGCTCAATCACTGCATAGTCATTGTAAAGGCATCGTCAGGACCTCGATATGTTGTCTCTTACCGTCCCGCCTTACCAGCAGAGAAACTCAAGACAGGCACACGAGTTTCTCTTGACATGACCACCCTCACAATCATGCGTATCCTGCCAAGAGAAGTAGATCCTATGGTTTACAAGATGAGCTTGGAAGATCCTGGAGGTGCATCGTTCGCGGGTATTGGTGGCTTGGGTGAACAGGTACGAGAGCTGCGTGAGGTATGTTTGCTATAATTTCTTCTTGCTGCTTTATGCTTACTATTCTCTAGGTGATCGAGCTACCGCTGCTCAGCCCAGAACTCTTCCTCCGGGTCGGTATCAAACCACCCAAGGGTGTCCTCTTATACGGTCCCCCAGGGACGGGAAAAACCCTCCTCGCCCGTGCTGTTGCAGCTACTCTTCAAACTAATTTCCTCAAAGTAGTATCTTCTGCTATCGTCGATAAGTACATTGGTGAGAGCGCACGAGTCGTACGTGAGATGTTCGGGTATGCAAGGGACCATGAGCCCTGCGTAATATTTATGGATGAAATCGACGCCATCGGTGGAAGGCGGTTTTCGGAGGGTACCAGTGCAGACCGTGAGATTCAGAGAACATTGATGGAGGTTGGTATCTGTTCTGCACTTTCTTTGTGGGATCGAGCTCACTTTTTCACAGCTATTGAACCAAATGGATGGTTTCGACTCCCTAGGACGGACAAAGCTCATCATGGCAACCAATCGGCCAGACACTCTTGACCCTGCTCTCCTCCGTCCTGGTCGACTAGACCGGAAGATTGAAATTCCTCTACCGAACGAACAGGCACGACTAGAGATTTTGAAGATTCATGCACAACCCGTGAACAAGAGCGGATATATTGATTATGAAGCAATCGTGAAGGTGGGTTCTACTGTTGTCATCTAGAATTCATCTCACCCAGCTTGCAGCTCACGGATGCGTTCAATGGTGCCGACCTGCGGAACGTGGTGACAGAAGCAGGCATGTTCGCTATTAGGGACGACCGGTGAGTTTTAGTTTGTCACGACAAGCACTTTTCGCTCACTTCCGCGAAGAGAATACATCGTTCAAGAAGATCTCACTAAAGCTGCACGGAAGGTCAGCGATGCTAAAAAGCACGAGAGTGAGTCCAGGCTCTTTGTAGTTTGTCACATTTTCTCAAGCAATTCGCAGCCAAGTTGGAGTATTCTGCATAGACCCACATGTAATATACCGCCTGCATTGTATCTCATTTTTATCTCGCATTTGAGGGTTATCCACGACTAAGAGACGAAATAATCCAAAAGGTACATTAGTGTCACCCTATTATAGTCTACACACTTCCGCGTCGTCGAATATCGTCCGGGGGGGGGGGGGTTCGAGTGGAAAAATTGGTTAAGTAAGAGAGGTATGATAGGAATCAGAAACGGAAAAGCCCCTTCTTTTTCTTCTTTTCTTCCTTTTCCACCGTGCCCGAGCCGACCAGCGACGCCGATGATGTTGAGTATGACGAAGGTGTCTTCGTAAGCTTGTTGGCGGAATGTTTCGAGTCCTTCGGCACCGACAGTGTGGGTCGTTGAGGTACAGGAGGGTCTGGTGTGAAGTACTTCTCATCATAATACTCTTGGTATGTGTTATGTGCTGTTGCCAACGAAACACCATTTGGCACAGCACGTGAGCCGACGCCCGCAATCTCAACGACTTTCAGATCATCGATGAAGTTACGGGGCGTGATAGCGTGTGTTGAGCCTGTAGATGAAAAGCTTTCAGTAACCTCGAAAGCCCCTGATGAGATAAATGACATACCTATGTAGATATCCTTGTTTAGCAACGTCGACAACGAGTATGCCTCTCGAATCTCCGAGTATGTCATCCCGCCAACCACAAACACGATAACACGTTGCTTGCTCTCCGCAAGAGCATTCGGCCGAACAGCCTTGTGCCAGCTAGGCTTCGCACTGCGTAGGGACGTGGTTTGGGGTGTTGTCTGTTTGAGACTTGCAGCCGGCGACAGAACTATTGGGGAATCTTTGACGTAGGGGAAGAGCGTGGGGTCTAATTTGTTGGTGGAGTGTTCCTGGGTGATAGTCTTCAGCACAGAGCAGTTAGATGTAAGAGTGTCCGTACTTCTATGACTGTCCGAAGCAGAGGTCGGTACCGTGAGAGCTCGTACTCATCGTCGCTGGATGTCTTTTGCTTGAGTTTCTTCTTCGTATCCTTGTCTGAAGGTCCCTAGGGTGCAACCATGAGTGGGATAATGAATTACACTTGCCACACGCGTACTCTGCTTATGCGAACACCGAGATGAACCAACGAATTGACGGCGTCCTGATCAGTCATGCTCAGCCGTGCATGCTGATACAATCGTCGGCGATCCTCGTCTGGAACACCATCACGGTGTTGGATGTAAAGCGCGACCATGCGCACTTTATTGGCATTTCTATGCAAGACTATCAGGCTAGCCACCTAGAAAGGTTATATGGATACTAACATGACCTCCTGGCTATCCAACAAGGGCACCATTTCCTCAACAAGAGTCTTTGGTGTCTTCCCCTCTGCGGTGAGTCCGGTAGCACAACACTGGATATGCGTTAGTTTTGTCCATCGAAAAAACGTATCACAGCTACCTGCTCAACGTTGGCCACCAGCGGTAGTTTGTGCTTCTCAAACAGGTTCATACAATCCTGCGCCATGTTCAGATGCAATGAGAACTTGGATGTCATCACAAGATTAGTACCATCGATACGGGCGGGCACACACATACACCCACCTTTTCTCTCTGCTCTTGATATTGAGGCAAATTTGCAAGCATATCTTTCATGTCGTTGAGACTGGCAGCACCCTCCCCCTTGAACCCTGCATTCTCTTCCATAAACTTGTTAAAATCCGCCATGAGCTTGTCGATCGCTTCACGCATGTGCATGTGGCGCACAGTGGTCCATACCGAGTCAGCGTCGGAAAGGGTGGCGATCTTGTCCTCGTAAGATCCGACCGATGATTGGAATTTGTACCTATAAGGTAAAATTGTAAGTGAACTTTCGCGCCAGCACGCGCAGACAGACATGTATTTTGTGCCGTCGTCTATTTGCAGCAGATCATTACACATCGCCTGATATGTGAACTCGTGAATGAAAGGTGCGACAGTATCCATAGATCGGTCCGTGATTATAAGCGTACCGCGGGGTCGGGGAGGATCAGAAGCTTTCTAGCGTTGTCCAACATAATCATTTAACAAGCCGGTCCAAGTCAACAGTTGACCTAAGTTGAGCACTCACAGGGAACTCCGGATTGACTCGCCTGTACTCATCCAGGTTCTGCTGAATCATAAATGCAAGCATCTTCGTAACGAAGTCCGTGTCAGCAACCTCGTAGGCACGTGCAGCGTCTCCGCGAGCCAGATTGGTTCGCCATCGACCACTGCCTTCAGGAGGCGGAGGAGCGCGCGTTTGGTCATTGGGTTTGAGGGGACCGAGGGGAGCGTGGTGAGTTGGCATGTAGTACCGAACGTACGGGAACTCGTTGAGTGTGATGCAGACATTTGCTATCTGCAAAAATTGAGTTTACAAACATGGTTCCAGACACCTGCACTTGAATGCGTACAGTTTTGCTAACAAACCGCAACTCCTCCTCAAGCTTCAATCGCGCTGACTTGAATGCAGCTTCATTTCGTGGTGGGCTATAAGTGTTAAAGAAGAGTCCTGGTGACTGAAGAGAGAACGTTTGCGCCTCGGTCGCTGCATACGGAGGCACCCTAATCAACATCAAGCTTCGTCGTGAGTGGCCTCCGCACGAAACTCACCCCAGAAGTTGACAAACAAATCCTGCAGTCCTTTGAGGTGCGGTTCAGCAGGGGATGTCGTCAAGTGCTCAAATAAAGTTTCCGACAATCCTAAAGCACACGCCTGTCCTCAACTGATGCAACTCGCACGGAAGTCAGATGAGAAAGCGCACCATCGACGAAGAATAAGTGAGCCCCAAGATACTGCTGGCGGCCGTCACTGAAGTCTTTGATGATGCGATTGACATTCTGCGTAGTCGGCATAAGTAGATAGACTGCCTCAAACTGCTGCGGTTCCCGGTGACTGGATATTGACTCGATCACTGACCCATGTGGCTGTTAGTGCTAATTGAGTTATCCGACTGACAAGGGCTCACGAGTGACATTCTCCTCGAGGATATCGAACTGCTTAAGAACTGAACCTAGCAGCTTTTGTGAGTGTTCGTCCACCACAAGAATCTTCCATCGTCCAGGGGGATTCACAGATCTGATTGCCTGAAGTAATTCTGCAGTTGTGATGTGCATATTAGCGCCCGCTAGGTTATAAAAGAGCAGCGCACATACTTGAGCGAACAGCGGTGATGAGTGAAGCCATGAATCGATATGGCTGGCAGCAACCGTAACTTGACTGTCCTCCGGATCCAAGCCTTATTAGTATCGGCTATCACCGTAAGTACTATGTTTATCTGCCAGCAGTTCATGTCAGAGAGGTTTATTGCTCTCTGCAAAAACCTGTCCTAAATTTCA